AACATCAGTAACATGAACAACACGGACAGGCAGACCAGATGCGGGACTGGGAGTCATGGGCTGCAAGTGAATGAAAATGCATCCAATTCAGAATCAAATAAACATGCCTGGGCCCACAGCCAAAGAGAATTCTTGGACTGGACTTTTATCAGGAACCTAAATTTTAACCAGCTGCAACTTCTTTTATTCCAAGTACCACCCTATTCTTTCCTACCTTTTGAGATGAAGTGTTTGCCTTAAATGGGAAACTTGCACTTCATTGTTAAAACGATGCCAGCATCCTGGCTTCCCAAATTCCAAATGAGTAACCTTTCTTAGGGAGGATAGGAATTGTGTTTCAGGAATAATCGAACTGAGATGATGTACCCCGTTTAAGTAAGGAGGCAACGGTTGTTGCCCGTAGCTCAGTGGGTAGGGCACCAGCCACATACACCGAGGCTGGTGGGTTCAAACCCAGTCCCGGCCCGCTAAAATCAAACAACTGCAACAACAAAAATAAATTAATTAATTTAAAAAAAATAATAAGTAAGGAGGCAAGAAATGTTCCCTCCTCCCCTACAGCAGGAAAAGGCACTAAATAAAAACCTGGGGGAATAGATTCCAAACTCCTTGTTCCATGAATAGACTTCTCAACCAGCAAAGCAAAGGAGGGAAAACCTCAGTGCAAGTGACTGATGTAAGTAAAATTACCTATCACAATCATTCCACCATAGAGAAGCAAAAGTTAAGAGCAAGTATAAATGAGGGTGCTGGCCTCTCTGGAGGCTTTACAGATTATTACTTTTTGGGGAGAACAATATTTATTACTCAAAGAGCAACTTCAGCTGGCAAGGACCCTAAGAGAATGTTTTTTAAGTAGTTGAGGAAGTGTGCCCACGACTCATTTCTAAAACACTGAGCTGTGTTCAAGATGGTATCAGCTTCTTAATTGCCCCACTAATAATGCAGAGGTTGTGAAACCTGACCACTTAAAACCAGGCCAGCTCCTGGCTCCTCTGAGAGCAGCCCCAAAGGCTCTGTTAGCAAAGCTGCAGAGAGTTGGCTAGCTGCAGTCACCTTGCAAATTCTGGGAAAATACACATTCCTAGAGGAGCAAGGGCCCTGGAACAAATGCTCCTTGGAGATTAAAGGGGTCATTCACTCAACTCTTCTCATGCACCCAAATCCTGCCTCTCCTTTAAGGCAGCCTGCATCCCCACTGTCTTCTTCTTAGGTTCTGAGCCACAGGGAGCTCTTTCCGGTTTGCATTACATGTAATTGACCCGGATTCGTATATGTTCCCAACTAGACTGTAAGCAACCTCAGAGCTGAGGCCAACATCTATAGACTGAGTACCTATTATCTGGTAGGTAACCAGACATGATTCAAATATCCTAGTCACTACTATTTACTGGCTGGCCCTTGACACTGTAATTTCTGGGAGATGTTACCAGAGAGGTGTGAGCAGAGAAAGCTTCCTAAAGGAAGTGATGGTGAAGTTGAGAAGGGAAGTCAAGGAGGCAGAAAGAGAAAAGACACAGGCAGGAATAGCATGTGCAAAGGTCTGCTACCAAGAAGACACTGGAGGGCCTGGCGCCTTGGTTCACACCTATAATCCTAGCACTCTGGGAGGCCAAGGAGGCTGGATCACCTGAGCTCAAGAGTTCGAGACCACCCTGTGCAAGAGCAAGACCTAGCTCTACAAAAACTAGAAAAATTAGCCAGGCACTGGGACGGGCACCTGTAGTCCCAGCTACTTGGGAGGCTGAGGCAAGAGGAATGCTTGAACCCAGGAGTTTGAGGTTGCTGCAAGCCATGATACCATGGCACTCTACATTAAATGACAGAGTGAGATTCTGTCTTTAAAAAAAGAAAAGAAAGGCTCGGCGCCTATAGCTCAACCGGCTAAGGCGCCAGCCACGTACACCTAAGGTGGCGGGTTCGAATCCCCAGCCCGGACCCGCCAAACAACAATGACGGCTGCAACCAAAAAAAAAAAAGCCGGGTGTTGTGGCGGGCGTCTGTGGTCCCAGCTATTTGGGAGGCGGAGGCAGGAGACTCGCTTGAGCCCAGGAGTTGGAGGTTGCTGTGAGCTGTGCTGTAATGCCATGGCACTCTACCCAGGGGGACAGCTTGAGGCTCTGTCTCAAAAAAAAAAAAAGAAAAAAAAAAGAAAAGAAAGAAAGAAAAGACACTGGAGCTTGGTACTCTGATCTGATCTCTTCCCCATTTTTTTTTTTTTTGAGACAGTCTCACTTTGTCGCCCTCGGTAGAGTACTGTGACATCACAACTCACAGCAACCTCAAATTCTTGGGCTTTTTAAACAATTCTCTTGTCTCAGCCTCTCAAGTAGCTGGGACTACAGGTGCCCACCATAACACCTGGCTATTTTTTTTGTTGTAGTTGTCATTGTTGTTTAACAGGCTCTAGTCAGGTTCAAACCTGCCAGCCCCAATGTATGTGGCCGGCACCATAACCACTGAGCTACGGGGTCTGAGCGTTTTTTTTTTTTTAAGAGATGGGGTCTCACTCTTACTCAGGCTGGTGGTCTTGAACTCCTGAGCTCAAGTGATCCAGCTGCGGCAGCCTTTCAGAGTAGGAGGATTATAGGTGTGAGCCACTGCACCTGGCCTCCCCCCATGCACATACACTTCTGAAAATCTATCACTTAAAATAGGATTTAGCAGGAAAGCAGCCGAGTCTAATTAGGTTCAGCCAAGAGTTACAGGGCTCTGGGCTCTGAGGCCACCAAGATGAAGTTCAGTGCCTGTCTAAAGAAACTAGTCTGAAAATATGGAGCGAACAAATATTGACACGGCAGTCTGGGGAGAACCAAAGGACAAGAACTTGATTGAGAAGGCAAAGCAAGGGGCATGAAAGTCAGGGAGGGCTTCCCTGAGGAGGCATCACCTGAGCTGAGTCGTAAGGGGGATTCTCAGGGGTCGGAAAAGGCATCCCAGGAGGAGGGAAAAGCATGGCTTAGAAGCATAAAGGGCATTAGGAGTTAGGGAGCATGGTAGGAGGGGCTAAAGCTGGAATGGGTGGGTAAGAGGGGTTCATCCTACGCACCAAGAGGCAAGTCCGGGACAGAAGAAGCCATGTGTCAAGTTAGGAAGAACATGGAATCTGAGACATGGCCCAGAGGCCCCTATGCTCATCTAGGAAGGGGAGGAACATGACTGAAGAAAAGGACTGGTGGGGCCAAGGCAGGAGCTGTTAAGAAAGTCACCCCCAGCTAGGGGTCCTGGTGTGGAGAAGGCCAACATGTGTGTGACTGGGACAGGGACATGATTAATTTTGGGAGGGTGCTGGTGTGGGGAAGGAGAACACATTCCCTCAAGTAAGGAAGGACAAAATAATCAGCTTGGCCCCTTCGGACAAGTACCATACCCACAGCATTAAAATTTCATTAAGTTGTGTGCACTGGCATATGAAGCCACCTTGGCAACTGCAAAAACCCAGCAATTAAGACTGATACACATATGCTGAATTCTCACATGAAAACTCAGAATAAAATGCCTGTGATGCTGTTACTTATTCAAAAGCCAACATCAGTCTAGATCCAAAATTTTAGCAGGATCCATAAGCCAACATAAGACAGCCTTGAGAAAACCTGGTATCTATTAAAAAATTTTAAAAATAAAACAAGAGTAGTGATGTTTTACTAAAATGGAAAAGAGTTAGAAAATGTGGTGCTTTACTCAAATAGTAAAGAGCGATACAGCCAAAGATATGGTGGGAGGTATAGCTGTTAAGTATAAAGACATCCCAGCTTCCTGCTCTAACTTGGTTTCCAGCACCTTGTTTCTCTGAATATGGGGCAAGCGAGATGGAGCAACCAGTCCCTGCATCTAAGGGGGTGTCCAGTCTTAGGTCTTCACCGTGCTGAGGCCGTTTGAACCTCCCAGAAGAGGTGAGTCAATGTTAGCCTAAGCCAAATACCCTATCCCCATCCCTCGTCCCAGCAGTAAATCTCCGTTTTCTTCCATTTTCTAAATGAAGAAATAGAGGCTCATGGTTATCTAGAAGCAGAGCCAAGGTCATGTCCCTGATGCCTAAGTGCAAAGCCTGCTTTCTCTCCACAGGCTTAAGACCATGAATGCCCAGGGGCCAGGCCAGGGAGGCACAGGACAGATAGACGGAATATCTGGGTCCTAGGCCCGCCTGAGCACAGTAGACGAAGTAGGGACCAGGGAGGGGGAGGCAATGTCCTAGCGCACATCGCCCAGTGTCGAAGGAGCCCTCGGTTCCAGGCAGAGGGCTCCAAGTACACGCGAAGTCTGGGCAACTCTCTAGTCTCCTCTCCGGCACCTGACCCAGGTGACAAACTTTCGCCAAAGGGCGGCGAAAATATATCTGCATCTCAAGGGGCGCGGGGAGGCGGGTATCATCCCTGAGACCATACACGAAACGAAAGGCTGAACTGGGAAGGAGTTTCTCTGGAAGTCAGAGGTGGGATGAGGTGGGGTGACGGCCCCGGCCGAGAAGAAACAAAGCGACCACGGGAGGGGGGCACATCCCTCCCCAACGTTCCAGGCCCTCTCTCTGGCCGCCCAAGAAGTGGACTGGAGTGGAGTCCCGCTCCAAGGCGCCCCACACACCCCCGTGCGGACAGCTCGGGGGATCCCAGCCTGAGACGCGCAGCTCTGGGGCCACGGAGGTCCTTGGCCGGGAACAAAGGGTGGGGCGCCCTCCCCCAGCCCCGCTGCCCCCTCTGGCCCGCCCTCAGAATGGGACCCCGGCCGGCCGCCGCTCCTCATTAGCAACACAAAGCCGGAGGTCAGGCAGCGCCTTTCATCCCAGCCGGGGCCGCCGGACTCGAGCCCCGGGAGAGAAGTTGGGCGGGACCCCAGTCCCGCAGCCGACTCCCAGTCCCGCAGCCGACTCCGTGGAGAGCAGACAGGTCCGCGGGTTCGACTGCCCGCAGGCACCTGTGCGCCCTGCGCCCCTGCCTTACAGCGCGTCCCGCCGGCCCCCGACAACTTAGGGGACGGCGAGAAACCCGCAGTCCTTGCCTTACCCTCCAGCCACAGGTGTCGGCAACCCGCGTGCGGCCAGAGCCGCCGGCAGCCACAGCCAGCTGCGAGCCGTTGAGGCAGGCGTTGACGGTGAAGAAGACAGAGCAGAGCTGCAGCCACGGGGCCATGGCCTTGCACTCGCCCAGCCGGGCCCTACTCTGCACCCCGGCCGCCCGCCGCTGGCCAGCCCCGAGTGGGCGGTGGCGGTGGCGGTGGCGGCAGTGGAGCGGACCGCACTGAGCATGCGTCGCCAGCCCACGCCCCGCCCCTTTCATATAGCCCCGCCCCCACCCTCAGTTCTTGCTTCCTGGTCCCGCCCCTTCAGCCTGACCCTCCAGTCTTAGCCACGCCCCCTAGCCACTGCCCTGGGCCAATGCTGAGACTATGGCAGCAGCATTTTTTCCCCCCATCTAAGGGATTTTATTTTTATTTTTATTTTTTTTTTTGAGACAGAGCCTCAAGCTGTCCCCCTGGGTAGAGTGTCGTGGCATTACAGCTCACAGCAACCTCCAACTCCTGGGCTCAAGCGAGTCTCCTGCCTCCGCCTCCCAAGTAGCTGGGACCACAGGTGCCCGCCACAACGCCCGGCTATTTTTTGGTTGCAGCCGTCATTGTTGTTTTGGCGGGTCCGGGCTGGGGATTCGAACCCGCCACCTTAGGTGTACGTGGCTGGCGCCTTAGCCGGTTGAGCTATAGGCGCCGAGCCGGGGATTTTATTTTTTAATCCCAAAAAATTTGTTCACACGATGCCTACTCCATGCAAAAACTCGGGGACACAAAGAATATAATAATATTAATATTAATAATAATTTAATAAGCACCTGCTATGTACCAGGCCCCTTTTTATATCCTCCCAACCACACAGGGAAGTGTCAGCATTATTTTTATCCTAGTTTTAGGTGCAGAAAAATGAGGGTAATGTGGCAGTTAGAGAAATCCTCCTGACCTAGGTCCTCGCTAGGCTTTAAAGGATTAAAGCCTTTTCTCTCACCTCTAAGCTGGAATAAGAGTTAAGTACCCTACTTTGGGGAAAATTCTAATGGTTAACACATAATGAGTGCTCCATAAATGCTACAGTCTATCATTAACTGACAGAAGGCCATACAACTGGACCTGCCAGTCCTGAGTCTCAAATCTAGATCTAACTAAATACAATACTCTCAACCATTACATTTGTCAACCTTACCCCCATGAAGTGGGCATTATTTCCATTTGGAAAGGAACCTGAGGTTCCAAGAAGTGGAGTAGCCAAAGCTATAGTTTTTCTCCATGCTCCTTCCATCCCCTTGCCTTGTAATTGTGCGCCCAAACCATACCACTTTGTTTCTCTCCACTGCCTCCTCCCTCATCTAGGACACCGCCTTCTCAACAGCTTCCTAAGGGCGTTTTCTGCTTCTGATATTATCCCTATGTACAAAATACATTTCTCCACCCTGGATGGAGTGTAATCTTCAAAAAAGATCAGACCACTGACTTCCTTTTTTTGTTTGTTTGTTTTGACAGAGTCTCACTTTGTCACCCTTGGTAGAGTGCTGTGGCATTACAGCTCACAGCAATCTCAAACTCTTGGGCTCTGATTCTCTTACATCAGCCTCCCAAGTAGCTGGGGCTACAGGTGCCTGCCACAACACTTGGCTATTTTTACAGACGGGGTCTTGCTCTTGTTCAGGCTGGTCTCTACCTTGTGAACTCATGCAATCCACCTCCCAGAGTGCTGGGTGCAGGTGTGAACCACTGCACCCAGCCAGACATGACTCTCCTTCCAGGGCAAAAGATGCCTTTTTTTCCCCTTGTCTGGCCTGACCTGAGTTTGTCTGCTGCTGATACAGGATTCCTGCACTTTCCCTTCTGGCTCCACATACCCTGGCCATACCTTTGTACCTAAACCCTCCACAGAGGCATAGGTGGCCCCAGCTTTACATGATGGGGAGGAAGAGAACTCTTCTTGGTAATGCCAGCAGAAGTCCTGAGTATTGACTGTGAAACAGCTACCCCTAGAACCAAGGAGCCAGCCTTACCTGGACCACAAGGGCTGAAATGTGAAACAGTGGCCATCTAAAGGAAAACTGGCATTGTTGCCAAAGGGAGAATGGGTTCCCAAACAATAGCAGCTATCACAAGACCCAGGTGTTGGGATTACCTATTCTTGTACACAGCTGGACTGAAGTGTTTTGTTTTTTATCTCACTGCCTGGATAATCAGGTATTCAGCCAGACGCAGTGAGAGCAGGTACTACACCATCTTTGGTCATCCCAAAGAGCCAGGATCCACAGAAGGCTGTTTCTCTGGGTAGACCTGAGGAAGCACATGGTCCCTGTTGGGGAGCTGCTGGTTTAAATCCCCACCCTCTCTCACACTCTTGATATGCCACTCTGGGTCATCTCTCAATCCCAAGGGATATCCAGGACTTAGCCAGGAGAGTAAAGGGTGCCAGGAGTTGAGATGAGGCCAGGACCACGAGGGTATTAGTGAAACACCAAGGAAATCATGAGGCTACCAGCTCCTTAATCTATATGATGGTCCAGCCTAGATAAGATACGCTCCATAAGTTCTTAACCAATCCCATGCTGAGGGACATCTATTATAATCGGTGATTCGAAAAAATAGTCATACTTACCTTGACACATTTATTCCTCTATTTTCTTAGAATACATTCATAGAATCAGATTTTTTTTTTTTTTTTTTTTT